CAACCAAGCAACCAAGCAACCAAGCAACCAAGCAACCAAGCAACCAACCCAAACCAAGCAACCAAGCAACCAACCCAAACCAACCAAAACCAACCAACCAACCAACTAACCAACCAACCAACCAACCAACCAATCAGCCAACCAACCAACCAACCAACCAACTAATCAATCAGCACCAACCAACCAACCAACCAACCAACCAACCAACCAACTAATCAATCAGCACCAACACGTCTATAGTCTATACTTGGTGCACAGTGCGTGGGAAGCGCTGCGCCCTCCCCCACAACCCCTCCCGTTTCTTTAAGCCAACCAACCCTCCAACCACCGACCACACAACCAACTAAGCAAGCAAGCAAGCAAGCAAGCAAGCAATCAAGCAAGCAAACAAGCAAGCAACCAACCACCCAACCCGCCAACCCACCAACCCACCCACCCACCCAACCAACCAACCAACCCACCCATCCACCCACCAACCAACCAACCAAGCAAGCAAGCAACCAATCCAACCACCCAACGAAGCAAGCAAGCAAGCAAGCAAGCAACAACCAACCCAACCGAGCAACCAACCAAACAAGCAATCAAGCAACCAACCAACCATCTAAAAAAACAATGAAAGTAGCTCCGAGATATCTTCTAAATAGCTAAAAACGATCCAAAATAGGACTTTGGTTGAAAAATGTTTGTTTATGTACAAAACAGGTGTACGTTTTAAGGGCTTTGACTGTATGCACTTTTCGTTGTTTCTTGATATTTTTTGGCTGCTATATATATATATAAATATATACATGAGTTTATATAACTTTCTTTGGCCGCCAATTTTTTGCACAAGAATACACAACAAAAAAAGAAATATATGTATGTATATATATTTATACATATATATGTATATATATATATATCAGATATCATATATCGACCGCGCTCTTGGGCTGTTCACGCTTGGGGCTCTGCCGTGCCGCGGTGACTTGCCGCGGCCTCTGTGCTCTGCCGCGCTCTACCGGCTGCACCCACGCAGCACCACGCTGCGACCCCCATCGCAACGCCACCACGAACAGATGCGAGGCACGCGGCCCCCCCGCAGCTCCAATGGCAATGCGTCCAGTCTGCAGAGACCCCGTGGCATTTGGGCCACAACCACGAAGATCTTTGCGGCGTTAAATTGAAGCGTCATCGCCCGCAAGCACAGGACGGAGAAGGTGCCAAGGGAACAAGAAGCACCATGATACCACTCACAAGACTTGCAACGGTGACTTCTGAACAGCTTTGCCAACAAAAGTCACATAAAGGCAAGTGCCATCTGGCTTGAGAGGAAGCCGAGATGGTCTGGCTTGGGTGGACTTGTGCTCGATGCTTCGAATGTCTGTTGAATGCCTGTACCATGCAGCGCCCCTCTACAAGAGTGAAACACGGTGAAACGTGAAACCTGCACACTTTGTGTTCATCCAGGACCGACACTGAGGTGCCAGCCTGGAAGCTGTCTATCCAGCGAAAGGTGACGCCAACATGTTGGCGCAGGTCCCAACCGTAGCTCATCATCAAATTCCTCGGAATTGAAGATGCGACTACCTCCTTGATTCGGCGGAAGGAGGTTGATCCACCCTAGCATGTGGAATTTCTTACACAGGTCGAAGGTCATATTCAACATAGAGCCCTCTCCATGTGGCTCGACTAAGTTGTCCACACTCGAAGAAGGCTCGATGAGCAATATAGCGTAAGGCAGGCGGGGTGTGCACCTCTTGTAGCGAGAAACACAGTAGAAAGGCTTCTTTGCCTATGCGTCATAGCTTCCGTGGAAACCATATTTGCTTCAGGTGCGAGCAGTGTGAGAAGGTAGACCTCCATACAGCAGCAATGTCAATACCATCAACTATCTGCAACCGCTTGCAGTTTTCACATGCAATGGGGCCTACGATTATGATCAAAAAACCCTAGATAAGACAATAAATCGAAGCTCCTTTACACAAAAAAATCAAAAAATGTCCAAAGTAAAAAAAAGTCCAGC